CGCGAGGGGGCTCTGATATTTGTTCAAAATTTTCACTTTTTGGGTCCGATTTTTCCAAAATCCTCTTGATTAGTAGTAAGATTTTGTGTTTTGGTAGATTTTTGAGGTGAAAAGAATCTTTATTTTGGTCTGGTATCCTGGATTTTGGGAAATTACTTTCATTAAAACGTGTGCTGGCGGTAATGCCTGTAGTGTAGCTTGTACGGTACTGCTACAGTACACAGCAGCATGGACAGTGACGTCATTCAAAATGGCAGCCAGCCTACTTCAACCGGCAGCAACGTGGTACACTCTGCAAATTCTACGGAGCAAACCTTTTTCCAGACCACCAATGAAAGGAAGAAAAGAGGGAGGCCAAAAAAGAAGGATAAACAAGGAGAAAAAATTGCACCTCAGCAAGAATTGGCTACAGGTGATAGAGGCACTGGGGTGACTGGCAGTTCACTGGAAATTGAGGTAACACACCCTTTCGATAAAAGCGGGGGGGGGGGGGGGGCTTTTTTCGAAAGGGTGCGTCGACTAGTCTTTCGCATCAGTCGTTTAAAATGAGGATCTGGGACAGAAGGTAATAGTTGCCAATTTAAGTATATCGAAAATGTATTAAATGAAATGGAATGGTCTTAATTACAGAGTGGTCTCTTTCGTCATTACTATGTTGATGGGGGAGACAGAGAGAAGGGAAAAAAGGGAAAGGGAAAGGGAAGATAAAAGGAAAGAAAGAAGAATAAGAAAAAAGAGGGAAACGGGGGGGGGGAAAGGGCTCTTGCCTCCTCGTCACCCCCCCCCCGCCAAAAAAATAAATAAGAGATATAGAGAGAAGAGAAAGGGAAAGGGAAAGAAAATATAAAAGGAAAGAAAGAGGAAGTAGGAAAGAGTGAAACGGGGAAAGGGCGAAAGGCTCTTACCCCCCCCCCCACCAAAAAAAAAATAAGAGAGAGAGAAGGGAAAGGGAAAGAAAGAAGAGGAATAAGAAGGAAAGAGGGAAACGGGGAAAGGGCGAAGTGCTCTTGCCTCCTCCCCCCACCCCCGCCAAAAATAAATAAGAGAGAGAGAGAGAGAAGGGAAAGGGAAAGAAAATATAAAAGGAAAGAAAGAAGAGGAATAAGAAGGAAAGAGGGAAACATGGGATGGGCGAAGGGCTCTTGCCTCCTCCCTCCCCACCCCCCGCCAAAAAATAAATAAGAGATAGAGAGTGAAGGGAAAGGGAAAGGGAAAGAAAATATAAAAGGAAAGAAAGAAGAAGAAAACGAATAAGAAAAGAGGGAAACGGGGTAAGGCCAAACGGTTCCTACCTCCCCCCCCCCCTCCCGCCAAAAAATGAATAAGAGAGGGAGAGGGAAGGGAGAGGGAAAGAAAATATAAAAGGAAAGAAAGAAGAGGAAAAAGAATAAGAAAAGAGGGAAACGAGGGCGAAGGGCTCTTGCCTCCTCCCTCCCCCCCGCCAAAAAATAAATAAGAGAGAGAAGGGAAAGGGAAAGAGAAGATAAAAGGAAAGAAAGAAGAGGAAGAAGAAGAAAAGAGGGAAACGGGGGCGAAAGGCTCTTGCCCTCCCCCGCCAAAAATATAAATAAGAGAGAGAGAGAGAGAGAAGGGAAAGGGAAAGGGAAAGGGAAAGTGAATATAAAAGGAAAGAAAGAAGAGGAAGAAGAATAAGAAGAAAAGAGGGAAACGGGGGCGAAGGGCTGTTACCTCCTCCCCCCCCCCCCGCCAAAAAATAAATAAGAGAGAGAGAGAGAAGGAAAGGGAAAGAGAAGATAAAAGGAAAGAAAGAAGAGGAAGAAGAAGAAAAGAGGGAAACGGGGGCAAAGGGCTCTTGCCTCCTTTTTGTTTCTTTCTTTTCCTTTCTTTCCTATTCTCCCATTTTTCGTTTTTCTTTCTTTCTTTTTTATTTTCCCTCCCCCTTTTCTCTTTTTTCCCGACGGCAGCGCAATTTTACCGACAATATCCTGACGGGTGGGGGTGGGGGGGGGGGTGTCGCACCCCACACCCCCCTTTGGAGACGCCCCTACCTACGCCACTGTTTGCGACCACAAGGCTATCAATACAAATTAAGACATATTAATGAAGATTCTTTTTTAATGTTGCAGAGAGATAAGTATTTTCTCTATGAACCTGTTTAATGGAAGGATAATGAATAATATTAAAAACATGAATACTATAGCGGTATAATGATGAGAGAGATGATTTAAGTCATACTTTTTTTTCAATGTGATTGGAGTAGACTTGAGGGTGGGGGGGGGGGGGGTCCCCTAAGATCTCGGCCGTTTCACAGCCGATCGCCGCGAAAATGTGCATGCATGTCAAGTGAAGTGTATAAAAACAACTATGGTAATTTCAATTTTTTGAAAAATTCACTCATTTGCATATTTATGGTAATTTATGCAAACAAGGTTAGAGAATTCACATTTGTACCCATAATTCATATTCAAGCGTTCTTTTTCACTACATTTATTCGTTAGAATAATAATACGACAACAAAGTTGGAAGAGCCAGTTTATCCCTATGTTATCTCTTGTTTTGATAATTTGTATTGATGTATTATATTGTTTTTGTTGTTTTATTTCATTTCTAACCACTATTCAACTATTTTGACCCAAAAACAAACACATTAACTTGAAAACAAGACCAAATAACCAATGTTTTCTATTTTTTAAAAGAATAAATTGTATTTCCATATGTTTGGTACATAAATCACAAAAATGAACGATTTTAGGGCTGACATGCAAAAACAAAAGGTCACGTGACTCCGCAACTATACGTCCAATTTTCAACAAAAAAATGTTTCAAAAGATGCGTAAGACTCGAAAGAAAAAAGTCATGAAAGAAAAGCTTTATATCTGCCGCGGTTCCGGAGTAGTCGCGAAATTACTAGAGAGCACTAATCTTTTTTTGGGGCCCTCGAAAATTTGAAAAATCGTATCCCCCCCCCCTTGAACGCCAGGCAGGGGGGGGGGGGCCTATCTCCCCAAAACGGTAAAATTAACGTGTTTTTTTACACGTTTTTTTCACAGGGCGGAGCCCTCAGAAGCTCAGGGGAATTAAACATCAAAATTAATGTCGGATGAGCATAATTTTATACCTTATTTGTGACAGTGGCAGGACACAATTTGGTGTTGGGTCCAGGGGGCGGAGCCCCCAGAAGCTCAGGAGTTTTGTACATTAAATTATTATTATTTTATACCTAATTTGTAACACAGGGGTCACGAATTGGCGCGGGGTCAAGGGGGTGGAGCCCCCGGAAGCTCAGGGGTTTTGGGCAATAAATAACGGTCAGATGAGCATATTTTTATATCTATTTGTGACACTGGCAGGACACAAATTGGTGTTGGATCCAAGGGGCGGAGCCCCAAGAAGGTGAGGGGTTTTATACATCAAACTATCGTCAGGTGAGCATATTTTATATCTATTTGTGACACTGGCAGGACACAAATTCTTCTTCCTCTTCTTTCTTTCCTTTTATCTTCTCTTTCCCTTTCCTTCTCTCTCTCTCTCTCTCTCTCTCTTATTTATTTTTTGACGAGGGGGGGGGGGGGGAGGAGGCAAGAGCCCTTCGCCCCCGTTTCCCTCTTTTCTTATTCTTTTTCCTCTTCTTTATTTTCGTTTAGATTTTCTTTCCCTCTCCCTTCTCTCTCTCTCTCTCTTATTTATTTTTGGCAGCGGGGAGGGAGGGGGAGGGCTAGAGCCCTTCGCCCCCGTTTCCATCTTTTCTTCTTTCCTTTTTCCTCTTCTTTCTTTCCTTTTATCTTCTCTTTCCCTTTCGCTTTCCAATCTCTCTCTCTCTCTCTCTTATTTATTTTTTTGGCGGGGGGGGGGGGGGAGGAGGCAAGAGCCCTTCGCCCCCGTTTCCCTCTTTTCTTCTTATTCTTCTTCCTCTTCTTTCTTTCTTTTTATATTCTCTTTCCCTTTCGCTTTCAAATCTCTCTCTCTCTCTCTCTCTTATTTATTTTTTGGCGGGGGGCGGGGGGGAGGGCAAGAGCCCTTCGCCCCCGTTTCCCTCTTTTCTTCTTATTCTTTTTCCTCTTCTTTCTTTCCTTTTAGATTTTCTTTCCCTCTCCCTTCTCTCTCTTATTTATTTTTTTTGGCGGGAGGGGGGGGGGTAGGTAAGAGCCTTTCGCCCTTCCCCCGTTTCCCTCTTTCCTTCTTCCTCTTCTTTCTTTCCTTTTATATTTTCTTTCCCTTTCCCTTTCCCTTCTCTCTCTCTCTTATTTATTTTTTTGGCGGGGGGGGGGGGGGGTGAGGAGGAGGCAAGAGCCCTTCGCCCCCCCCCCGTTTCCCTCTTTTCTTCTTATTCTTCTTTCTTTCCTTTTATCTTCCCTTTCCCTTTCCCTTTCTTCCTTCTCTCTGTCTCCCCCATCAACATAGTAATAACGAAAGAATCTACTCTGTAATCAAGACCATTCCATTTCATTTAATACATTTTCGATATACTTAAATTGGCAACTATTACCTTCTGTCTCAGATCCTCATTTTAAACGACTGATGCGAAAGACTAGTCGACGCACCCTTTCGAGAAAAGCCCCCCCCCCCCGCTTTTATAGGAAGGGTGTGTTAAAACGGTACTCCGCTCTCAACGCACCCTTTCGAGAAAAGCCCCCCTCTTTTATCGAATGGGTGCGTTGAGCACACCACACCGCCCCGCACCGCACCGCACCCTTTCGATGAAAGCCCATCACGGTGATCAAATTATGCATTACCTTCCTCAAAAATGTTTGAACTAGACACAAACTCAGTGCAGTATGGCAATGCGTCATCAACTGAAAGTCGGAAGTCACATTACTCGACGGATAGCAGCAAGCAGCTAATACTACATTTAGATGAACGTACTGATCAGGCGAGGTTCTAAATTTGTTTGTGTGTGGGAAGGTTGGATGGGGGGGGGGGGGGGGAGGGTGACGGAGAACTTGGGGTGGGTCCAGTATTTTGAAAGAATGTGATCACGAAAAAGGGTCATCACATGTTTTGGTGTCATTTTACGGTGTCATTTTACGAAAGAAAAGTCACCACCTGAACATTCTTGAGTTGTGAAATGAATGAATGTATATGGCTCATGTTTCTAAAGGGAATACGGTGATAGCCCCCCTCCCCTTTCATCTGCCACTAACTTAGGGGGTTCTTGCATTTATTTTTACAAGGTCATGTGCCTCGCATAAATTCATTATCAAGACAAATCAATCTAGAACCGCTACAGGTACTGATCCACAAAAAGTACAAACAACATTATCTGAGATACAATTGTATTCAGATTAAACATCAGTCAAAATCAGGTAGTGTCAAACATTGTGCTTTCTTTTCCATTGACATACTACATATTATGATGATTTGATTGTAATTATTGCCTCGACAAAATTATGATAAGTTTCCTTTACCGCATACCATGGAAGCACAAACATCCACATTCATCATGAATGTACCCTCTCTCTCTCTCTCTCTCTCTCTCTCTTCTCCTTCTCTCTCTCTCTCTCTTCTCTCTCTCTCTCTATATATATCTTTCTGACTGTCTTTAAATGATTTTAAATGTACAGAGTACAGAGTACATTATTGCAATTTGACGAACAAAAATTTTGTCCTCAGGCTGGAATGCGCGTGTTTACGAAGGCAAAATAAAATATCAAAGGACTAAACGTATTCCCGATGAGCGCCAAAATATTGTGAATACCTTTTTTTCTTCCTCCCCATTTAGTACCAAGCACGTTTGGGCGGGAATTCTTTGTAATATTGACGCGTGAGCTGCGGATTCCTAGTTCTGTTCGTCAGAAGTTCTTGCATGCACTGTATCGTGACTGGATCATAAGAGTAATGTATTTTGTTGACAAATAGGTTGGGCACGCGGGACACATAGGGTAGGTATCCTGTCGATATCACACAGATACCTCTGACATACTTGCCGACGCATTCTTTACTCGCCTTCCCCCAGCTCCATTTGACGAAGCTGGTGTTGATATCCTTTGATAGCGTGACGTTAGGATATGATCCGGGTGCATTGTGGTAGCGACGGAGGCTCGCCATGAAGTGTTCATCGGGGGAATACGTCATGTTGATCCAACTCAGGAATTGAACAGCTTCCTTGTCCGTCAAAACGTAGTCGACAAACTCTCTGCTGAGAGTGTTGTAGGCGTTCCCAGAGTGCAGCGTGATGTTTCCTGGTGGCGGGTAGCGATTCAGTCTGTCTTCAGTTTTCTTAAAGGAGGTGTATCTGGAGGAGAGCTTGTGAAACCTGGATAGTTTGAGGGGTTGGTCGTTTGATTCAGCATCCACGCGGCCGTGGTAAGCCTTGATCATCTTGGCCATCTCCAGATTGGTCTTCAGTGGAAATGCTTCCCCGCACTGGTTGATGACATACTTCCACTGCACAGAATGATTGACCAGGTCGTGCATGCAGTTGATATCTGCAAGGAGGCGCGTGAAACCGGCATACTGTACCTTTTCTAATTTGGAACAAACGAACACATTGTCAAAGCAACTTGCCATGTTTCTTATAGCTCTTTGAAATTCTGGTGGCGAGTTGCCATCTGGATGGAAGGCATATACATTATGGGGTTGGTAAATAGCACGGAAAAGCAGTTCCACCTGTGCAGCATTCTTGTGGGTAAGGATAATAAACGCAAGCGGAAACTCCTCTTCCTCCTTACTTAGTACTTTTGTTGGGTAACCTCGGATTTTCCTATAATATTCGCAATCTTGGGTAAAGTTTGCGACCAAAGCATCCGACGCAATGTCGATTTCACCCTTTTTTGACTTCTGCCTCTCCTTCTCTAGCATAGCGTCCACACGTGCGATCTCCTGTAAATCTTCCTCAAAGACTGCACTACAATTTACCGGCCAGTATCGGTTATAGAATTCTGGATGACTCTCCACCTTTGTCCCTTGGGTGCCCGCAAAGGGCGGGCCGTGTGGATCAGTTAGGGGATACTTGGGCGATGCCCTTGTGACTGCTTCTTCGCTTAGTTTTCTGAAAGGTATTTTCTCCAGAGTATACCGATGTAGCTTGCTTGTTTTGTCAGCCATGAAGTAGGAACAAGTCAATACGAATATAATGGTCAGCCAAGCCCCCCAAATCATTAACCCTCGAAGAGACCTTCGGAAATGACACCTTCTACCCATCTTCTCATGTTTTGATGTTTCATTTAAAGCTGTTTCTGGGTTTACAATCATCTCACAGCGCCGCAACTCTCACTGATTTTACCTGCACAAAGAAAGAAATGGAAGGAGAAGAAAACTGTTATGTATTTCAAACACATTCTTTTCTTCAAACAAATATATATATATATAGTATATATGTAATTATGAATTCAAGCAGATTGTATCAAGGATGGCATTGTGCTGAAAACTAAACATTAAGTACGGTGCAACGTGAATTCACAAATTCAACGAAAACTATTGCAGATATAGTATGGAAAATGACAGGGTTAATGCATACAAAATAATATTTTTTGAAAGGGACATCCAGGTCCATGTAAAGATTGAAACAATGTCGCAGATGATCCTTTATATTACGTATTAACTAGAATGTTGGGGTCTCAATATCTCAAAATGTATTTTCCCCTTGTTTTGCGTCATACTTTGTGGGTCTCTTTTTTTCATTAGGTGATACGTAACGAAGTCAACGTATCACCTTTTGATTTCGTCAAGATTTTTCTTTATTATTATTTATTTTTATTATTCTTCCTCGAATTTGTTCGCAGGATATCTCAAGACTGAATAAAGCCATTATCATGAAACTTTCAATGATGATAGATCTTAGTCTAACTTAGAACTGTGTGACTTTTCAGACAGTCAAGGTCATCGTGACGTCATCCATGCGCCATTTTGTGAAAATCAACTTATGATCATATTTTCATAACGGAAAAGTATTTCTCATTCATAATTATCACAATTAAGATCAATATTCGTCCGATCAATTTCAGATCAAAAAATGTGCGCAAATGCGCGCGTGCGCGCTCGTCCGCGCGTTTACGCGCGCGCAAAAAATTAAAATGCTCTCAATCATCCCAAATTTTTTTTGCATACGTTTCAGGCCATGTAGAGCATTTAATAAAAAATCGCGCTCACGCGCATGCGCGCGCGTTTTTTGCGCGTACTAGCATTTTGCAACATAGAATCGCCGAATTTTCTATGTCATCATATTTGGCACATTTTTCCAAGCATTTTGATAATTTGTTCACCTTTTATTAACGCAATGAGCGTCCGTCAAAGTTGACAGCACGCGCGGATTTGCGTTATCTTTATCCACAATACATGGGCAAAAACATGCCTATATACAATTCATTGTAACTCTTTAGAATAGATAGAAACTCCTAATATTTTTTCATATTTGGATAGATTATGAGTCGGAGATATGATTTCATGTCTCATTTGATCCTCAATTAACTCATGACGTCATTATAATGGCCTCCAAACTGAAAATTTTAATTTGCATATTATGACGTTTGCATATTTTTGGAAAACTGATTGTATCTCTGTAAATATTGATTTTGTTTCTTCCAAATTTTGATATGTTCTAGCTGAGACAATTTTCTACAAATGCAGTGTACATAATTGTCCAGTTTGACAAAGGTATCATGGCGTATTTTTGCGATTAAAGGAGGCATGTCAATTTTTCACATTTTGCGTGTATTGTCTATGGGACATGACTATTTCTCAAAACTGCATTCTACATTTCCGTCTTTCGCGAGCAACATCTCCGTTTTTTTAACTTTGTTTTCGGTGAGCTTCGGATATGTTGTAGCTGAGACAATGAGCTATGTCCAATGTGTACTTCATTTTCCGATCATATGCCGGGATCATGCTCATATTTTACTTGCAAAGTGGGATTTTAGAATTCCATTTTCGTTTACGTGTAATCGCTATGGGAAATGTTTTGGTATATCGGTAACGCACTTGACTTCCGACCTTGAGATCCCGGGTTCGAGTCCGGGTGTCTCCAACAATTTTTTCTCCACTTTTTTTTCCTTTTGACCTTTCACTGTACCATCTCCTTTGATTATTTAAACACGTAGAATCGCAAATAATGTAATAAACAACCCTTTTTACTTTAGTGTTTCCCTATTTTCACTTAATCCATTACTTTTTGCGTGTAATCCCTGTGGAAGATAATTCTCAAATCTCAAATCTGGATTCTACATTCCTGTCTTTTGCGAGCAATATCGCCGTTATTTCTGCTTGGATTTTGTTGATTTTTTAGTATGCTATAGCTAAGACTATGTGCTATCTAAATCACCCCTCATTTTTTCAATAAGATGTCAGGATCCCGCTCATGATCATGATCTTCATCATGATTATCATGATCATCATTTTCATAATGATGATAATCATTTATCAATTACATTTTCATTTCTTTGAATAAGATAAAATCGTCAAAATGTGTTCTTCATGATATAAATTAGAATCAAAGGTGTAACTGGTTACTGCGCAGGGTCAATGGTCATATTTTTTCAATCTATCTTCCCTAGATCCATAATGATCAAGGGGACACAATTTAAACTTGACATATGGTTAGATCTTAATGGATGAAGCATTTCATAAAATAATATGATATCGTGTAATGCATTCTTTATTATGTAAACCATTAGCATACGTATCACCTAATTCGTCAAAGTGACGAATTAAAGTCTAGTTAGGTGATACGTACGTAGACGTATCACCTTTTGATTTCGTCAAGATTTTTATTATTTATTTATTTATTTATTTATTTATTATTATTCTTCCTCGAATTTGTTCGCAAGATATCTCAAGACTGAATGAAGCCATTGTCATGAATCTTTTAATGATGATAGATCTTAGTCTAACTTAGAACTGCGTGAATTTTCAAAGACTCAAAGTCATCGTGACGTCATCCAGGCGCCATTTTGTGAAAATCAACTAATGATCATATCTTCATAACGAATAGTAATTTCTCATTCATATTTATCACGATTTAGATCAATATCCGTCCGGTCAATTTCAGGTCAATAAATGTGCGTAAATGCGCGCGTGCGCGCTCGTCCGCGCGTTTACGCGCGCGCAAAAATTTAAAATGCTCTAAATCATCCCAAATTTTTTTTGCATACGTTTCAGGCCATATGGAGCATTTGATAAAAAAATTACGCACACGCGCATGCGCGCGCGTTTTCGCGCGTACTGGCATTTTGCAACTTAGAATCGCCGATTTTTTTCTGTCATCATATTCGGTACATTTTTCCAAGCATTTTGATAAGTTGTTCACCTTTTATTAACGCAATGAGCGTCCGTCAAAGTTGACAGCACGCGCGGATTTGCGTTATCTTTATCCACAATACATGGGCAAAAACATGCCTATATAAAATTCATTGTAACTCTTTAGAATAGATAGAAACTCCTAATATTTTTTCATATTTGGATAGATTATGAGTCGGAAATATGATTTCATGTCTCATTTTATCCTCAATTAACTCATGACGTCATCATAATGGCCTCCAAACTCAAAATTTCAATTTGCATATTATGACGTCAGCATATTTTTGGAAAATGGATTGTATCTCTGTAAATATTGATCAATTTTCTTTTTAATTTTGATATGTTCTAGCTGAGACAATTTTCTACAAATGTAGTAGTCACAATTTTTATTTTTGACAAAAGTATCATGGTGTATTTTTGCGATTAAAGGAGGCATGTCAATTTTACGCATTTTGCGTGTATTCTCTATAGGACATGACTTTTTCTCAAAACTGGATTCTACACTCCTGTCTTTCGCGAGCAAAATCTCCGTTGTTTTAGCTTCGTTTTCGCTGAGCTTTGGATATGTTGTAGCTGAGACAATGAGCTATCAAAAGTGTGCCTTTTATTTTTCGATTAGATGCCGAGATCATGCTCATATTTCACTTGCAAAGTAGGATTTCTGAATTCCATTTCCCGTTTACGTGTAATCGCTATGGGAGATGTTTTGGTATATCGGTAACGCACTTGACTTCCAACCTCGAGATCCCTGGTTCGAGTCCGGGTGTCTCCAACACTTTTTTTTTCACTTTTTTTTCCTTTTGACCTTCACTGTACCATCTCCTTTGATTATTTAAACACGTAGATTCGCAAATAATGTCATAAATAACCCTTTTTACTTTATTATTACCCTATTTTCACTTAATCCATTACTTTTTGCGTGTAATCCCTATGGGAGATGACTTTTTCTAAAATCTGGAGTCTACATTCCTGTCTTTTGCGAGCAATATCGCCGTTATTTCGGCTTGGATTTTGTTGATTTTTGAGTATGTTGTAGCTGAGACTATATGCTATCTAAATCAACCCTCATTTTTTCAATAAGATGTCATGATCGCGCTCATGATCATGATCAAGATCATCATGATCATCATTATCATAATGATGATAATCATTTATCAATTACATTTTCATTTCTTTGAATAAGATAAAATCGTCAAAAAGTGTTCTTCATGATGTAAATTAGAGTCAAATGTGTAACTGGTTACTGCACAGGGTCAAAGGTCATATATTGTTTCAATCTATCTTCCCTAGATCCACGATGATCAAGGAGACACAATTTAATCTTGACATATGAATAGTTCACAATGGGAGAAGCATATGAAAGGGAGAAGCATTTTACAAAATAATATATCGTGTAATGCATTATTCGTTATGTAAACCATTATCATACGTATCACCTAATTCGTCTAAGTGACGAATTAAAGTCTAGTTAGGTGATACGTACGTAGACGTATCACCTTTTGATTTCGTCAAGATTTTTATTATTTATTTATTTATTTATTTATTTATTATTATTCTTCCTCGAATTTGTTCGCAGGATATCTCAAGACTGAATAAAGCCATTATCATGAAACTTGCTATGATGATAGATCTTAGTCTAACTTAGAACTGCATGACTTTTTAGAGAGTCAAAATTATCGTGACGTCATCCAGGCGCCATTTTGTGAAAATCAACTAATGATCATATCTTCATGACGGAAAAGTATTTCTCATTCATAATTATCACGATTAAGATAAATATCCGTCCGGTCAAGTTGAGGTCAATAAAAGTGCGCAAATGCGCGCGTGCGCGTTCGTCCGCGCGTTTACGCGCGCGCAAAAATTTAAAATGCTCTAAATCATCCCAAATTGTTTTTTGCATACGTTTCAGGCCATATGGAGCATTTGATAAAAAAATTACGCACACGCGCATGCGCGCGCGTTTTCGCGCGTACTGGCATTTTGCAACATAGA